GAGAGAGTAAGGCTTTAAAAATAACATTTCAGTCCTTGTAAAAGATCAGTACCCTGTAAATGTGTTTGTCGTTATAATATTTTTCCAGACATATACACTGCAAAAAGACACATTTTACAATAGTTTTAAGGCTTTTTTCTACATTTCATTAATGCACTGTGAAAATGTGTGTCATTGTGTAAAATATCATTAGATTATAGTTCTCTGTCTTTTGTAGGTAGCTATTTTGAAAGTACTGCCAGAAACACACAGCACTCCCACAAATTGCCTTTTTTAAACTAAGGAACAGCTTTACAGATTCCCTTGACACCTATTAAGTATGAGCTAATACTGCCTCCATGCCACCTACACACCATCTCAGCATCCATTCCATAGTTTTGAAAGTCTGTACTTCTACATCCTACACCTTTTCTGTAAAATAAAAAAAAAAGAAAAATTTTGAAAAATAACATTTAAAACCCTAATGCTTTTCTAATTAAAATAACTATGACTGTAATTCACAGATGGTTTACTTTTACAGGAGTCTGAATGACATTAAAATTTCAGACTCAGATTGAGAGCACTTTGTAGTCCAGAAAGTATTGAAAAGTGAATGCTTTAGTGGAAGAACATTTTAACCTTTTTTTTCCCTAGGCAAGGGAAACATTTTGTGATTAGAGAAAAGACCAGAATGAAGACAGGTGGCAGCCTCAAAAACTGTTTTGTTATCTGGCATATGAAATTCCAACATTTTTCAGCGTTATTGTTTACACTGAACTCCAGAACTCTACAGAGGGCAGTGAGACTCCCTTGTTCTCGGTCAGCTTTAGAGGGTATCAGATATACTTCAAAGACTAAGCAACACAGACCTCCAGCTGTACGAATGTAATCAAATGTGTTATGGCAGTTTCTTCTTTACATGCTTCTGTCTAGAGCTCTGCTCTCAATAGACCTGGCATACCATGTAAAATCTATAAATAGCTTTTATCCGAATGTAAAAATGAATTTGTATTGACAATTTGTATTTCTTCATTCACTTAAAAATTGTAGCAGGCTTTACTAATGAAGTTCATGGTGTAATTGAAGCCACAATAACTCCATTTCTATTGTTCCTAGGGTGTAGGACAGGAGGAAAGAGCGCTAACACTTTGCATGTCCCCTAGTGAGCTTTGTGACTCTACAATGCCAGACGCTTGTAGCTAAACTGACCATAAGCTTGAGCAATTCTCTTGATTGTGATGTTGTGACTGCACACCGAAAAATAAGTTGCAACTCAATGTTTAGTTAAATTACACATTTGAAATATAGCCTAGATGTGACCAGTGTCTTAATTATGAGACTAATCCAGAATGGGGTTGTTAATTTTGCCATAGGCATTGCCGGTAAAGAGGGCTTTTTTAAGGTTTCAAAATGTAACTTTTCATCCCCTTTTCTACTGTCAGAGTGCCATAATATTGCCCTAGTAGAGAGGATTGTTTTAGAGACTTCCAGTGAGAAAGTAAGGGGAGAAACAAGCAATTTTGAGAAGTGGAGAGAAAGAGACAGAAGTTAGTAAAAAGTGCATGATTTGGCATAGGCCTGAGACAGGGGAACGGAAAGTCTCCAATGTGATGTAGAGGGTTTGTGGAAAGGAAAAGTGGATATAAAGAGAAAATGTAATCAGAGCAGAAGAATATTATTTTATTAAGTATTTGTATCCAGGCTTTCGTTGTCTGAGAACTACTCAGATATAAATGGTAATTATAATAACTGCATGATAATTTAATTATAGTTAAGCATATGAATAATAATTCAGTTATTCTTATAGAAGAATTCTGGATTTAAGGTGATGTGAGCAAGAAGATGGAGTGTTTTAGTAGCCAAAGCTAATAATAAGGACAGTTCAATATGTGTTTTGACAAGATGGATGGAAAAAATAGTTGTTTGATGAGCAGTTGTTAAAGAATTCACACAGTTTAATGACAGAGTGGATGCGGTGGGAGGAGTCAAGGTGGAGTTCTGGTGTCCTGGAAGAAAGTTGAAGGCACAAAAATAGAATACTTGTTGGGAAGAGAGGAGAAAATTGACATGGTTTACTGGGAAAATATGAAAAGTTTGCTTGTTCATGATGCAGGATCAGATGTCTAAAAGAAAAGCAAATTTAAACTGAAGAAGAAAGTGGCTGACCTCTTTTTCTTAGAACTTTTTGATGAAATAAGGAAGAAAAGAAGTGGGGACAAAAGGAAAATTTCCTTAAGGAAACTTAGCAAGCCTTAAGAAAGAAACAAATTCCAGAAGAGCTGATGAATGAAGAAGGAAGTCAGAGTGCTAAGATAACCAGGCAAAGAGAGAATTTTGAAACCACAGGAAGAAAAATGAAAACTTTTTTGGGAAATCACCAGTCAGGAAAATGAGGATCGGAGTATGTCCCTAAGAGCAGAGTATGAGAACACAATGAGAGCTCAGCAAGATTGCCTCAGATGAACATGAAGTTAAAAATTGGAAGGCATCACTCAGGAAAATCTATTAAGTAATGCCATGGTTTAACCCCAGCCAGCAACTGAGCACCACACAGCCACTCCCTCACTCCCCACTCAGTGGGACGGGGGAGAGAATTGGAAGAGTAAAAGAGAGAAAACTCATGGTTTGAGATAAAGGCAGCTTAACAGGTAAAGCAAAAGCCGCGCACACAAGCAAAGCAAAACAAGGAATCCATTCACCACTCCCCGTGGGCAGGCAGGGGTTCAGCCATCTCCAGGGAAGCAGGGCTGCATCATGCGTAACGGTTTCTTGGGAAGACAGACGCCATCACTCTGAACATACCCTCCTTCCTCTTCCCTCCCAGTTTTATATGCTGAGCATGACACCATATGGTAGGGAATATCCCTTTGGCCAGTTTGGGTCAGCTGTCCCAGCTGTGCCCCCTCCCGATTCCCCATGCACCTCCAACCCAACCTTCTCGCTGGCAGGCCAGGATGAGAAGCAGGACAGTCCTTGACTGCTGAGCAACAACTGAAAACATCAGCACATTATCAACATTATTTTCATCCCAAATTCAAAACACAGCCTCATGCTAGCTACTATGAAGAAAATTAACTCTATCCCAGCTGAAACCAGGATGAGTAAATATAAAGACACTGTTTTACCAGGGTAGCTACCATTATAGAAACGGGATCTTTACGGTTCTGGAATAATAACTCCAATTTGTAAGACAAAGTATTGTTCCAGAATGGGTGGTCTGAATAGAGGAGCTGCTCTGGAATAGCTAAGTTACACTAGTATTTCTGTACCTGCATATTCTTAAATATTTCTAAAATAGCTGTTCCAGGCACTTTCCGCCATGCACAGAAAGCCTATTCCCTGTTTATGAGTTTCTACAATGGCACGACAAGTAAAATGTGGTTTTTATCACCTTGCCTTCACACACTTTACAATAACACAAAAAGGCATATTTTACTGGGAGAAGAGATACTAACAGAAAAAAGTTGTAGAAAGCATTCTAATTTTGCCATTTGAGTGCATCTGATTTTAACTAAAAGGCTAACGGTTGCACCATCATTGTCTGTCAGCTCACACTGCAGAATTAGAGACTTTTTAAAATATTTCATTCAAACTAGTTTCTCTCTAGAGTAGAGAGAAGGGAAGTCAAGGGACAAAACTGTCCACCAGTCATTTCCGAATTTTGTTAATGAAGTTTAGACATGATATATATGTCCTGGCTTTCTGTAGTTCATCACTACAAGTGATGTACATCTAACAGTAGTGTTTGGATTAAAAACAATCAGTAGAAACGGTGTGCAAATATCCCCATCGATACCTGTCTCCCTGATCTATACTAAAAAACAGAACAGTGGAACAGGATGGTGCGATGAGAAGAGAACGAGCTTGTGAGCTGCAGACAAACAAGAGTTGGAATGAATTTCTGCAATTTCAGCCAGACTTGTATTAATTAATCAGTATGCCTATTAGCCATGAAAATTAATAGCTAGACAGAAGCTATAATCTTCACTGGGTAGCATAGTTTTCTGATACTGGTCTTTTTATTTCTAAGTGAAGTAAAGTTTCTTCTACTGAATTTCTGAGAAGAAAATGGTATAAGAAAAGCCATTATTCATCCAATTTTTTTAATTACTCACTGTTTTTAGGGTAGATAGGTTGTGTGTGGTTTGGATTTTTTTTTTAAAGGCTATTAGAAAGGAATGCTTTTGAAGATTGTACAGAAAAGAATCTTTAGGATTGTTTCAGCATGTTCAGAAGGTATCAAAAGGAAGGTGCTTTCTTTTGGTCTAACTAGCTAAATTTTTCTGTAAAGGGGAAAGAGCATCTAAGGATGGTTATTAAGACCCTCAAGAGCTAGATTAGTTAAACAAAGCAACTAGTCAGCACCAGAATAAGATCATATACTCAATCAATGCTTAGGAAATTATTTTTCACAAATGAGTCCCTCTGACATTTTAGGCTTGATTCTAAAAGGAGACCTGCAGCACAGCTTCAGCAGACAAGGCTGGGAACTAGGATTCATAATTTTACTGGACGTTAGGAATCACTCTCACTAAGAGCAGTGAGTTTCTCCCATCCTCCCACTTGGGCTAAATTCTTCCTGTTCCACAGATGGCAGCTGCTACCATTTTCTGCTCCATGTGTGTTTATGGCTTGTCACCTTTCTCCTTGCCCACATCCCCCTTTTACGAAAGCTAAACCTTATTTTCTATTGCGTTGCCTAACACATTAGCACAATGGCATTCAGAATGCTTTTTTGCCCCCAAGCTGTATTTAACTCGAAGACTGTAGTATTTGTTCTGGATGTTTTGGGAACTGAAGGGGAATTGTGTGTCTGACAGCTTGCTCGCCCGTTCCAAATACATCTGTTATTCAACCAAATGATACTACCTCTCTGTACAAGTACTGGCATTGCACAGTTCATAAATTGCAGATCTCATCTCAACCCTTAGCTGGATTATATACGTACTCTCGTTATTTACCTGTCATTGTTTTGGCCTTTTTTGCTGATGGTGAAGGTTTCCCTGCTGTTTGTATTCTAGATAGGAGTCCGAAAAGTGTTTCTTAAGTACTGGCAAGCTGACCATCTCAACGATTTGTGCCTTCAGCTTCAGAAGAAAATTATAACCTGCCAAAAAGGTAACAATTACAGAACAAGTATTCCTGAGCTGTCACTTTGCACACTGAGCAGAATATTGCATAACAAAAAAAAAAATGTTCTTCTCCTTGAATAGTTGCTGCATTTTATACATTTCCAGCTAACTACTTATACAGATTTTTTGAGACGATATTAACATTGGTGATGCTTGCGCTTTCTGTCTGTCAAAGATAATTTTATGGCAAACTGTTGACTACAATTAAAACTTAAGAGACCTTGAAAATTCCCTTTTTAAAGTATGTTCAGTGATTTTTCAAGGCATTACTATAACTTTTAACTTCTTGTTGCAAATCAAATAATGTAACAGTGATACAAAATTGCAAAGTGTTCAAATATATTAGTGGTGAATACACAGCTAATAATTTAATATGTTTAGTTGTCATCATTTTTCCCCTTTTCTCACAGCTTTCATATTGGACTACTAGGTTTTTATGTTTAGGCGTTTTTTCCCCCTTTTATGCCTGCATTTTTACTAAGGTCACACTGACATTTTTTGGCATGTTTTTAAAAGGAGGTGTTATCCACTGCCTCCTGATTTCCTGCTACTTCTGTTCCATTTCCTATCAAAATTTCAAATAACTGCTGAAAATGTGAATACTGCTTTGTTTGAGGAAGCTTCCTTCACACAACACATTATTTATCCGATTGGCTGATGTCTGCAACAATTCCCATTATCATCTTTTTAAAGGAAATTAAAAAGACAAAGATTTATCTTGGGTTTTTCTTAGTCAGGTACATAATATTGCAGACTTAAGAATATATAAACTCCTCTCATTTTAACTATCTGTTCTTCACTGGAGCATACAGTGAAAAAGAGGAAACCAAGAGAAAACTTGAAGCAAATGAGATCAAAATAGTAGCAGTTCAGGAATGAATGTGGAGAGTGACAGTTAACACAGGCCATAGGTCAGCTGGGTGTAGAACTTGTGCCTGACTTTTTGTGCAAATCACCCCATTGTATTCACATATTTAGGAAAGCAATAATGATTTATCCTCTTTCC